TTGTTGAATCTGACGTGACATGTTCGTACGAACCCTTTGTACGAACAAAAGTAAGAGAAATTTAGGATAAAAATACGAACATGTTCTTGCATGAGGCCCATTGAGACCAACACTCACCACTCCTGGAGCAAGGAACGCTGTCACATTGTTGTACGGAGACAAATCTGTCTGTGACAAACAGAACGACACTGCTAGGACTTTAATCAGATGAAAAGCGAACAGTTTTTTTTTTTTTGTTCATTTACCTTCCAGAAGTCTTTTTTAACAAACGTTGCCTGGCTGGAGGGGACTCCGATCCAGCAAGCCTTGCTCCTGGCGTATGCCACTAAAATGGAGTTGATCTCAAACCCGGTGCACTGAAAGCCAGCAGAGGAGGCAGCAAACACCTGCAAAATATGGATAAAATACAACTAAAACTAAAACAGACCCCGAACATGCTCAGAATTAAAGTCCAGCGTCATTTGCCGTTTCTAAAACTGGTAACTTCTCACTCACCAGTCTTCCATCTCCTGACCCCAGATCTGCCAGGCGACCTCTTCGCCCCTCAAGCAGCTTCATGACGTTCTGCGTCTGATCCCTGCTGGAGGGCAAATATGGGACCTGATGCACAGAGTCAGTACGGTCAGGAAGGACAGTAATTACTGTAAACATTACCTCATCTGTTATATTAGTAAATATATATGAGCTCAAACGGAAGATGATAAAATCTGCTGAATTTGTTTTTTGTTCCAGAGATAATAAGTTCTGTGGAAAGTAACACAATGCAACATAGTCCAATATAATATCAAACTAATAAAACATTTTCTCCCTCTCCAGCTGCCTCAACCTTCAATTTTCTGCTTTGGTTACAACCTTGAATCTGAACTCCCACTCATCCTCACCCTCATCATCTGAGCAGCTTCACAAAATCTCAATGACAAACTCAGAAAGACTTATGTGTAGCTGGTAAATTCACTTTGATCTGTTACCGTGCAAATCCACATTTCAGCAACAAAAGATCTACATTTAAAAAGAGAAAAATAAGTCATGCAGAATGTTTGAGCAAAAGCAGCACTATTCAGCTAAATAAATCTCAGTTCTCTTCTGATTAGGTGTCTCCAGTTGATGGCGCAGTTCCTTGTGTAAAAAAACAAAACAAAATTTTTTTTATTACAAACTTACCACTTTTTTCTTTTTCCATAATTGTTGCTAGCACTGCGCTCCAAAAAAAGCAAATTAATGTTAATGTGCAAGTCAAATTGTGTTTTACTTTACTTTCTTTGTTTGTGATAACGCATTCATTTTTTGAAAAGAGAAAAAGACAAAAGGTAAAAAATAATAATAATAATAAAAAATACAGCGGGTAAAATAAGT